CCTGATGATGGGCCTATGTAGTGTTGTCCAGGGCCGGGCCTAAGCCCTCAAGCCCTGCCCAGCCCGGACCTCCCAGGCCCGGCCCAGGGCTGGGCTTGGGTAGGGCCTGTCAGGGCCCAGGGCCGGGGCTTGACTGTGGTGAAGCCCTTGGCCCTAGGGCTAAGCCCTGCCAGGCCCTGATGGCCGGCAGAGTGACCCGGCGTCACAAAATGTGACGAATGTGACGCTCAGAAGCTTCCAGTTCCATCACAATCTAGTGATGGCTGTGATGGCTGACCATTTTCCCTGATATGGTATACAAAACAAGCTGTAATAGTCAATATGGGACCAAGAATAAAGTTGATGTGACTGATTTAGTGAGTTAGCATCAGTCACATGTCCTGTTTTGGTGATAAGTACCACTCAAACCAGCCACTGACCAGGACAGGGCAGGGCCTGGGGCCAGGGCTTGACTTACAGTCAAGCCCCAGCCCTGGAAAGCCCGGCCCTAAGTGGGGCTTGGCAGGGCAGCCCGGCCCTAGACAACACTAGGCCTATGACAGAGTGGGAGTCATGGGCCTGAATATATGTGTATGAGAGTTGTGAACTATGGAAATTAGAGTGTATACACTATATTTTCATTGTCTTTACACCCATACAAGGCCCAAATCTTTTATATACAAAAAGTTTTTACTGCTAGGTCTATTTGCCTTACCAATGTTCACGCTTTGGATCCTCCCCTGCTAGGACCTTGATCTCAGGCCTCCGGGGTTGCCCTTACACACGTAGACCATTTACATTTGCCTACAATGTACACTCACATGAGTTATTTCAAGGTGAGTCAACAAAACTTGACAAAAGGGACAATAATTGAACATAATCATAATTAAACAGAAAAATAAGTATTGGGTGTTTCTGACGGAAATGATTGTGGGTGCTGTCAACAGGTGTCAGACCGCATTCGGATCGACTCGGAGAAGTTGAACGTGACTCACGACGACGACGGGTGCCACGTAGGCAAGCTGCGTTCGAGTTCACTAGGGGCACTTGGACCCGGTGCAGACTTGTTCGCCCCCGACCCAGCGGCAGCTGCACTGCCGTTCGACGAGGACCCGGGCGTCGTGTGTGACGGGAGTGGCGGCGGCGTGGGCGCTGGCCACGGCGAGGAGCAGCAGGGCAAGGCGGGTGAGTGTGGATTGCATGTTGTTGCCTGTTGTTGCAATTGAGAGCGATGCTGGGTTGTGCTTGAGTGGTTTCCTGCGTCGGTTTTATAGGGACACGGACGACGCGGCAGGACTTGATGAAACCGCAGCAGAGACAATCTTACACGAACCCTTTCCCTTAGCCTTGTTGTTGAAATGGTTGGTTCAGGTTGTTTACATGTTATATGCCACGTTGGCGTCGCGATCGGCAGCCCTCGTGCGGCTTACGCGGTGTTCACTCGCCGCTTGCACTTGTGTCCCTTTTCTTCGAAAGATAAGAGCGCAAGATAAGAGGGCATTTGGCGGATGCATGGCCAGCGTGTATGACCTACAGATAAGTCTGTGTATGATATCTATGATCCATGATGTTGCAAACTCGGATTATGGCATCGACAAATGTTTACTGGGCCCCCTCAGAGGACAACACGCTTTCTTTCAAAAACAAATGTTCGAACAGGTCTAAGTACTGATTGCTTGTCAGGAAAAAAAATCATGTGGTTTGTCTGTTCTATCGGCAGGAGTCAGCCAGCCTACTGCGTTTAGGTCGAGAGACAACTCACGATGCAGGCAAGCCTGGTGCAATTCGACTACGCGCACTTGGGACCGCCACAGATTTGTTCTCCACCGACCCAGTGGCAGGTGCACTGCCGTTCGACGATGGTCCGGGCGTCGTGTGTAATGGGGGCGGGGGCGGCAGCGGCGTGGACGCTGACCACAGCGAGAAGCAGCAGGGCAAGGCGGACAAGTGGGGATTGCATATCGAGACGAGAGCGATGTGGGCTGCGGCTTGCGGGCTTTCTGTTTTAGTTTTTATAGGGGTACAAAGGGACACGGGTGCGGCATGAACACGGATCCGAACATCGGCAACAGCGAAAACAAACACTGAAAGCACATGTCATGTGCTTTCGCTGTTCCGAAGAACTCCCGAGGACCGGCAGCGACAATCCTCCAGGCACGTCTCCTTTCGCCTCGTTGTGAGCGTTGCTGGTTGTTGCGCAGGATATATGGAACTTCGGCCATCACCGTGGCAAACGCCTAGGTGTCTATATGTCACGTTGTCGTGGCGATCGGTAGCTCTTGATCGGGCTATGCGGCCTTCGGCATCGGCGCCGATGGACTTGTCTTCCCGTGAGGCGTTCCTCGGACGAAAAGGCTGTAGTGCATTTGGCAGATATCAGTACATCGCGATGTACTGCAAACGTGCATGGCTATGGATGGGCCCGCGAAATAGGCGCCCGGGCGGCGGAAGGGCGGGCAAGGATACTGAAGCTAACGGATAGTAATGTGGGCTGGCCGGGGCATACAGTAGCGGCGATCGCTTAAAATTTGTCTGTATCGTATTGGTATCGTAAGCTGATCGTAACACTGACACACTCGGAGGTCGGGCAAACGTCCCGGATGCCGAGAGTGTCATGGGATAAAAATATATCTCCGCCGCACTGGCGGAGCGCTAGCTCGGGTCCACTGGGCCGCAAGACCTGCTGCTTGGCCGCCACAGACGAAGCGCCAGGCGCGCTAATGTGCATCACGGGCTGTGGGGCGTGCTGGATACAACGTGAAGTTGAGGGGGAGATCAGCAGCTTCTGCGCCACGAGATGATGGCGCGCTGTCAAGAAGCCACGGTTTGGCAGGGCCCATGACTGGCTTTTCCCATACCTCCATCCGGGAGCTGTGGTCGCTTCTCCTTCTTTCTTCTCGTCCGCCGCCGCCTCCTTTCTCCCACTCTTGCGCTGCATGCCGACGTCGAAGCCGCCACGCAACAGTGAGAGCTCATTCGACCCGTTAAGCGTCCCGCTTCAGCCTCCGACAAACGAGACTGAGGCTGAGAAGCAAGCGCGATTGGAAGCGGCCAGAGAGGCGACCCGAGTGTCCAAGGCAATCGATGCGGGGCTGGTCGAGACAAAGAAGGCGTTGGAGAGGAAAAAGCGGGCGGTGAAGATCCTGTTGCTGGGTGCGCATCCTTTCCTCAGCTTATGCTACCACTGACGCGTTTGAAGGCCAATCGGAGTCAGGAAAGGTCGGTTTTGAATATCCTGGCTTAGGCGCTTGCTGAAACGTCGCTCGATTAGAGCTCAGTGCTGCGGAGTGCGCTCGTGGTTTCTTCTCTTCCTTCCTGCTCTGATTCCTGCGTAGACTTTCGACTCGCCTTCACGCCCAAGTACTTCGAGTCGGAGCGGCTGCTATGGAAGACTGTCATCCAGCTGAATCTCATCGGGTGCGTCGTCCACACCCTTTGCTCCGCCCGACCTAAACTAGGGATAGCTCGATCAAGAAAATACTCATGATCCTCCAAGAGGAGGCGTCCAGCGCCAGCCCCGTCGACCCACTTCCGGAAGACCGCGCAACGACCCCTGGCTCAATGCTGACTAGCGACCACCGCCGACGGGCGCTTTCCCTTTCCCCGCTGCTCGCTTTCGAAACCTCGATAAGCATCCTCATGGAGAGTGGGGCGGCTGCCGGCACCAACGGGTATACCGTCACCGTGCGGCCTGGCGGTGGATGGAAAGAGCGGCTGGCGTCGCTGGGCGGGCGATCGCCGGTTCCCGAGACGGAATCGGAGGCGGAGGCAAATGCTAGTGGGAGCGGGAGCAGCAGCAGCCAAGATCCGGGCCAAGTTACGCAGGTACTTGCCGCGTGCCGCGAGGAAATATGTGCGCTATGGGAGGATCCTGTTGTGCGTGACTTGCTGGCGAGTCATGGGGTGCATTTGCAGGACGAGTCTGGCTTGTACGCATACCACCCCCCCCTTTTTTTTCTCGCTGATTGGCCGTGCAGCTTTTTGGACGACACAGGAAGAGTCGCGTCAGTCGACTATGTCCCCACGGATCGTGCGTGGTTTTACTTGATTCAGCTCCGACTAATGAATGCCCTAGGCGACATTATGCGTGCGCGTATAAAAACACTAGGTGTGGAAGAGCACAGATTTGTTACTGAGTCTGGCTTCCGCGCCGGGACCGAGTTCTTCATAACGGACGTGTGTGGGAGCAGTAACCAGGTGCATCCTCCACTACTTCCCGCTTTGACGCCTAACGATTGCAGCGGTCGACGTGGATACCGTACTTCGACGATGTACAGGCGATCCTGTTTCTCGCGCCGCTCGCCTTCTGGCAGTCGCTCGACGAGGACGCCAAGGTCAATCGAGTGCAAGACTCGCTCGAGCTGTGGCGCGAGATCGTCAGCAATCAGCTGCTCGCGAAGACCGCGTTTATATTGTTATTCAATAAAGTGCGTATTCATTTGCGCACGATCTTTGCCAAGCGGTGATTAGAAAGATATCTTAACGGCGCACATTAAAGCCGGAGTACAAGTAAAGAAGTATGTCCCCAGCTTTGGGGACCGGCCGAACAACGTCGCCTCTGTTACCAAATGTGCGCTTTTATTCCGTTTGGTTGTTACCCAGCTGATATTCTTGTAGATTTCCGGGACAAGTTCTGTGCATATCATGTTCGTTCCCCGTCCTATCACTTTTGCCTGTCTGAGCAGCCCGAAAGCGCAAATTCTCACCGGAGTCACGACCATTCATCTTCTACGAAACGGAGGCGATCGACACCAAATCTACATCTATTATCCTGGCGGAGGTGCAGGAGCAGATAATCAGAAGCCATCTCAAGGAGCTAGACGTGATGTGAATCGGCGTGCTGCATGGGTTCGTTGGTTGTGCTGACGCCTCAACGGACTTGGTTCCGCTTTGTAGATATACGAGCGAGACCGTTAATACGGCGACTGCGGGTGCGCGGGGCGGTGATATAATCGACGACGCGGGGTTTATTTAGGGACGGCATCTGTACTAATGTATTACACAAGAGCATATCAGTGGTCTTAAGACACCATTCGTCGCAAGTAGCGAGCAAATTGCGCTCCGCACCAGTCTTTTGCATGGCACTGTGCCTTGGTTAAGAAGGGAGAATAGAGCGACGAAGAAAATGCTCACCGAGGGACACAGATACCCTGGCAACGCATCGCCCGAGGTCCGGACCATGTACCACCGCAGGGAGTTGTCCTCTGCAGTCTCCCACTCCGTGCAGCCCTCGCAGAAATGGGCGAGCTTCTCCTCTCGCAGTAACACCAATACATGCGAGCTCCCGCTCTCACTATCGTGGTCGAGGACGGCAAACAGCGGTTGCTGTCGAACATCCAATGCAAGGAGAAGGTCGAGGAGTGTCGGGAACTTCGTGCTCTCCCAGCCGCTTTGCGCCGAGGAGGAGAACCAGAAGCGTTTGGCATGGCGGGTCGGCGAGGGGCGGGATTTGGGGGCTGGTGCATCGATTCGCGCGACTTCGCGGCTGTCGGCAGTGGGGTAGGGGCGGGCGAAGAGAAGGTACCACCCGTCGTAGCGGTGGCCCAGCGCAAGCTTCACGGGGAGGCCGGGGAGCTGGAATGTGTGTACTGTCGATAGAGACATTCATCTAGTTCTGCAAGCGCACGGGTGAGGCTATGAAAGCCCTGCGGTCGACGGTGACGCACCGAGGAGAGAATGATATCGGACTCGCTACGACATCGTGGTGGTCGAGAAGAGAAGCCTCATTGCGTCATGGCTTCTAAATCCGATTGAGGCGGCATCGTGGTTGCCCTGGGACTGCGATGCTTGTCCTCAAGGTAAACGTGGAGCGCTGGAAGAGTGCCAGCCGCATTGACGAAGAGTGTCGACGTCAAGAAGGATGGACTGTGACAGCTCTTCCCTCCTGATCACATCCTGCTCTTTTTAGTTGAAAGTCCAGCGAAAAACTGCGTACGACTCTGAACTCGGTCGAGCGGGCATCCCTCCTCTCACCCTCACGCGTGCCTCCCCCCTGAAGCCTCTGGAATATGTCCGCGCTCTCAGGCAAGTCTCTGTTACCCACCCGGACCACAGTCACGAATAGCTTCCAGAGACAGGTCCCAGGTTGATACAAACGTTCTTGCCGCGGAGGCTGGCGCGAGAAGAAGAGGATGGTAATTCTAGTGGTGTGTTAAAAGGGCGGAAGAAATTGGCTTTCAAGGTGCGTTTCCCTGACCACCTCTAACTTCTTGCACTCATGCCCTCGGACGTGTGGGCCAGCTGTGGCGGCTCCTGGTCCTCTGTTCTTTGAAGCAATAACCCTGACAGCTTGTTTCATCCCCAATCTTTACGCAGTGACATGGCGCCTTCTGTTACCTCCAATCCTTGCGTGTTCACACATATACCACCATTTCACCCTCGCACTGGCAAGCATTTGTCTACTTCTCGTCTACACGGTGACCACACCATACATCACCCTCTTCCAAAGAACTCCAATCATTTTAGTTTGAAATCATTTGTAAACGATAATAAATGTTTAAATAATCATTTTGTTTGGCTGACTGGCAAACAATAAACAACTAAGAAGGCTCTAGCAGGTGGAAAGTAGTCATCATATTATAGTTGGTATGGCACCTGAGTTGTTGCTTTAACAAGTTGTTCTAAGCGATAGAGTACAGGGTACACTATCGCGCCTTATATACGCGGGCCCGCAAAGGGGGGTGATCGGACACCCTGGCCTCACCTCCTCCTCCTCGCTCCCATTCCTGGCCGCAGAGGGGACGATCGTACGTCCCCTTGCGGGCCAGGCGCTACTCCTAACCTCCTAGCACTCCTCCCCAGTCCCCTTGTGTCGAAGTTGGGCTCGGCGACGGCTCGACACGTCGTTCTCGGTCACGTGCTTCCCACGTGTGCGTTCCTCCTACTAGGGTGCATGTTCCCCGTCGTCACGTGCTGCGTGCTACGGGCCCGCGATGGCCCGACACCAGCGCCGGAGCGGACGGGCCGGGTCTTATCCGTGACATCACCCCCTCCCTAGGAACGATTTGTCTCGAGTCAGCGTGGCTCGGTCGCCCCGGTTTCTCGGGTTAATTTGACTTTAGCTCGTCCTTCCAATCGCAAGTTCCATTCAGCCCATAAGCTTAAGCTAAGCTTCAGCTGCGCGTTTTAATCTCCCGCGGCTTCTGTTGCCTCGTGGCGTGCGCAGATCAATTCTTCATGTCCATCAAGTGTTTCACCGCGGTCATGTGCGGTGCTGCGTTGGCGTTTTTCAATTCAGTTACACGTCCTTTGTTCGTATTGGTTGCGAGTAGGCTGTGCTGCGCGCCTCTGTCGAGTTTGATATAGAACGTGTTTGTTCTCCCATATAAGGGCCGGCCTCCTCCTTCCATCTTCTCCTCATGGAATCCCCCAACTTGTACCGCTCTGGACTATTGCCCCCTCTTGGCTCTCAGATGGTTCCCCCGTCTTCGGAGCCTGGTCGTTTGTTCGTGCGTTTTTGCCCCGATGTCTCTCGTCGAGTTTCCTGCGTTCCGGCTTGTTGCGCAAGGGCGAGACCCATCGTACCGGGAGTCGTTCGAGCCTTTTCGTCCATTGGATGGCTTGCCCCCATCCCAAGCCGCCGAATATTCTTCCAAACTGCTCCCTTGTTTGGCCCCCTTGGTCCGCTCGCACCAAGCTTCCGCTCCTACAGCCTCCCCTGCGACTCCTCCGCTCCCATCGTCTTCTCGTCAAATGTTGTGGCAAGGCGAGTTTGACCGCCTGATGAAAGCTGGTCTATGGCAGCCGATTGTGTTCGGGCCCCACCATCTCTACTTTGGCGTCTTATTTGATGCGTTCCCATCCTCTTTCGTCTGGCGTCGCGGAGACGGCTCCCTCCAGGTAGGGATGAGCACGGGTCCGGCTGACCCGCGCGGGTTGGCGGGTTTGACCCGTACGGGTACGGGTACGGGTCAGCTTAGATTTGACCCGTGCCTATTCAGTCTAGCTGGTTTATGCCTGATTTCTGCCACCCTGCTGGGCTGCACTTCATCAAGAGGTCCCTGGTTCAACTCTGCCCCCTTTCCTTTTTTCCCGACAAATTTGTGTCGCCCTTCACCTTCTCACCCGGCGGGTGATCCGGACCCGGACCCGCGGGTCACAGGTCAGTGGCTGTGCAGGTCCGGGTCCGAGTCAGCCTCCGGTCACAGTCAGCCTCCGGTCACCCGCGGGTTGACCCGTGCTCATTCCTACCTCCAGGATATTCGCCCCTTGTTTGGGCAGCTCGGCCGTGGTCTTCTCGCCTATCTTCTTTCTGCCGATACTTCTGCCCCCAGTAATTCGTTCTTTCCCCGCCTGTGGCGCTGGGTGGTAGGTTCACCTTCGTATCTGCTTTGGCCGTGTGCTCACGGTTCCCGTTCAGCGCCTCATCCTTCACGCTTTGTCTTGCGCATCCTCTGTCGGCCTCCCCGCCTTTGTTTCGGATCGGTTCCTCATCCTAGCCCACGCATGTCAAACCCTGGGTTCAAAAACCCTTTTTCTTCGCCTTTTAAACCTTTTATTCTGGCCCTGGTTGATAAGATAAGACAAGGAGGAGATAAGATGGACGATAAGATGGTGATTGGATCATCAGATGTCGATGCTGATGTTGATTGACAGCGTGGAGTTGGACATGAGGCAAACAGCACGTAAACGGCATGGCTAAAGTATGACGTCATTGCCTCTCGTATTAGGCATGGTAAACACATGGTAGTAGTGTATATAAGTAGAGTAGATTTCGTCTTGTACCCCAGTCTTCGAATTGCATCATCTTTACGATATCTTTTCACGGTGCTTCTTGCTTGCCTTCACTGGCCAACTAGCATCCTCTGAATTGGTGTTGTTTGTGACAACGCAGCCGCCTTTCGCGTGTTCCCGCGAGAGAGCATAGCTCATCCCGGTGTGTTGGCCCGTCTGCTGGGCCCTCTTCCCCCTTCTCTCGTGCTGCCATTCCTCCAGGCCGACCAGTGGTCCTCATTTGTCCGAGTGGTTTCCCTGCCTGATCCTCGGGAGGAGTTCGTGTTCTCGGGTGGCCCATCGTTGGATGAGGCGGAAGCAGCCCATTCACTCAGATTTGCTCGCAAAACCTGGGCAGTTGCTTACGGGCATTGTGCGCAAAAATTGGGCAGTCCCCCATGACAAAGCATGGAGGTCATTTTGTCACTTGTGTCACATTAAACAAAAAGATTATTTTATTAGTATTTCATTGTTTTGGTAGGTTATCTAATGTTTGCTGATGGCATCAAGATAAATTAATCAATGTGGAACGATTTTTGATGGAGATCAATAATTATATCTATTATATGATGAACTATCAATTTGACCTTTATTTCAATCAATATCCCTTTTATGGGTCACATAGCCACCCTGATGTTTATCCGGGTCTTCAGCCTGAAAAAATAGTGATTTGTTGATTTATTTATGTAGTAACATTAGTTAGATTAGTCATATCGTTCAACTTCAAAAAGATATACAAGATATATCAATTGTCACAGAGGATGTCACAATCCTGCTATAGTCTCCCCCAGTTTTTGCGCGCAACGCATGGTGGGCAGTGGCCCAGGTTTTGCTCGCAAAATTGGGTGCATGTCCTGGTGGAAGCGGGTGTCTCGTTCAGCTTTCTCCCCCTGGCGGCTTGGTTGGACGATCGATTCCCAAGTCCCGAGAGTGATCCGGAGAGTTCCGAGACGGCGTGTGATGGAATCTATTTATATTGGAGCCTCAATGTACTTAAATATTTCCTTTTTGGGAAAAAGTGCTTATTTATTGTTTGTATCACTTTGATCACATCATTGATCATATCAATTTTCCGAAATGCATTGAATATGCTGTGATCAAAGTGTTATTGACTCTGCAATCCAGAACAAGAAGTCTTTTTGTGATTCATTCTAACATCTGACTTAGAATGACTCACCATAATTGTTTCTGACTGTGCATCAACTGTGCATGACTGTGCATGACTGTGCATAGCTGTGCATCAACTGTGCATACTGTGCATCAACTGTGCATTACTGTGCAAACTGTGCATTGACTGTGCATTGACTGTGCAAACTGTGCATTTGACTGTGCATGCAGGAACAATAGAGTTTAGTAATAAACTCTTGACTTGGAATGACTCATTTCAATTGTTCTTGACTGTGCATTGACTGTGCAATTCAGAACAATTGAACAAACAATTCAAACTTTGGAGAGTCATACTGACTCATGATGACTCAGCATGACTCTGCCCAAAGGTATAAATACAGCTCACTTCCCTAGTAGTTACACATCCTCTTTTGTATCAGATACTACCTGAATTGACACTGTCATTCACTACACCTTACTCTGTGGTTATTACAGAAGCCTTAATCCGAGGTTATACGGAGATCCCCTTACTCTGTGGGTATACAGAAGCCTTTATCCGAGGTTATACGGAGAACCCTTTACTCTGTAGGTTAACAGAAGCCTTGCTCTGAGGTTATACGGAGAAGCCTGGACTCTGGGGTTAAACAGAGGCCTTACTCTGAGGTTATACGGAGAAAGCCTTGAATCTGAGGTTATACCAAGATTACCATTTTTATTTTCTTTTCACAGTAGCTTTACTGTTTTGTTATCTCATCTTCTCTTATTCTAAGAGAAGACTCAATCAACTGACTTGGAGGATTGTTTGATATTTGGGTGTCGTCGCATGAACTGAACTGAACCCTAAACACATTATCAATTGATAACGCCAAATCGTACACTCTACGCTACGTCTATCAATTATCAATTATCTCTGACTACGCATTTCGCTAACACGGCGGCCTTGATCGTGGAGCGCGTTTCCCCCACCCCTGTGGTGCGGGCGCGGTCCTTGCCTTCGATGGAGGTCAACGTGGAGCGTGATGGTGCCCCGCCTGTTTCGACCCTGCTTTTCCTACCTTCCGACTCGGGTTCGGATTCGGACGTGGAAGTGATCGCCGGCCCTCATCGTTTGTCCTCGGTGGGGATCGACGCCTCGGAACACGAGTTGGATCTAGTCGCATACTGCTATGTACTGTTGGCTTTAAGTTTATTGCCAGAAAAGAGGCCAGCCCAACACATCCGGTTTGACATGAGAGCCCTCAGGTTTATGTGACAATTATTCTCATTCTTGACAGTCCATTAGCACAAACTTAAATCAGTTTGTGAATCTCTCAAGCAGAACAGTTCATTATTGTTTTGTTTTGGGCAGTGGTGTTTATAAGACCCTGTTAAGTGCCGTGCAAGAACCAAATGTAAGTAACAGAAAGTCCAAAGCAAAACCGAGTGGCTATCACAACACTATATCAAAGTGAGCGACTACACATCTTGCAGGCCGAAAGTAAGTCTAAACAAATACATGAACTCCAATGGATACGTTCGGAGAAGCCGAAGGTGGTAAAGGCTTAGAATGTGGAGGGAGTCGGACGAGAGCGGGGAGCAAGGCAAGAAATGTTAATAACGAAACTGAAGTACAGGAGTGTAGAGTACGAGTATTTATACTAAGTGGTAAACATAAGGCATATGACCACATCAGATCTCCCTGCGGGTTAAGTACAAAGGCATAGTAAGTAAGGGGAACAAGAAGACATACTGTAGTATTTTACTCAATTCGAATGCCAAAAATGGTGTGACATCTGATACGAAAATTGGAATTCGAATTATTTCCTAATTAGGAAGTTCTTGGCGCCGGAGGCGCCCGGAAATGTCATAAATTACCTTTTTGGGACAGGAATTTGAGCAAAATGGTGTGACATGCGGAAAAATTTCGAATTTTATAGCCTGTGTGACGCGTGACATACGAACTGAGTAAAATACTACAGTATACGAGGCAAAGGAAACAAGGCGAACACCTAAAGGATGTAAGTAAACAAAGGAAAGTCCAAATGGGTAAAGATCTGAGTTGATGGTCGGATGAGCCGAACAGGTCTGAGGGAGTCTGTGTGCAGATTAACTGTTTGAAGGGAAACGCTCAGATACCTTCATCGCATAAAAACCCTGTTGCTCTCCAAGGATAACCTTGGAGCGTCCGAAGATGCACGGGATATAACAGACCTAAAATAAAGGTCACTTTTGAATTAAAGGGTCTTAGATACTTATTTACCCTTATTTAGGGTGTGATTCTAAGGATTATTTCCTCAAAAAGAAAAACCTATTTTCAACTTTTTATCTCTCAAAATTGTCACCAGAGCCCTCAAGAGCACCAGCATCCAGTTCTCATCACCATTCTCAGCCTGCAGAAGCTCCATTGGACACCCTTCCCCTGTTAGTGCAGCTGATAATGATTGATGTCTGGCTCTATCATGCATGTCACACCAGGTCACACAGATAGATAATGCTAGATAAGGCCTTAGAAAAGTTCCCAGCCCAATTCAAGGCCTTAACTTAAAAAATGAAAATAACCCTGAATTTCAAGCTAACCCTTATCATTAGAGGCAACACTGGCTTTGGGGTTTTCAGTCTCATTTGACCTCCACTTGTACCCTCATCAATGGTCACATCATATATTTGGCCAAAATATATGGGTCACAGGTAACAGCCAATTTGTTTATTCCCAACTTGGAAGATTTCCAAATTTTCCGCAACTGCAGTACAGTGAATTTCCCAATTGGCTACCAAGTCACATAAAATTTGGCCTGTGGCCAAATTGAACATTGCAGCTGATATGTACTGTACTTAGGTGCTTGCTCTTTGATACCTCAACAGCACTGAACATCTCTCCCAGATTCGTCATCGTTTGGTTGTGGCGTACGTGCTTGAATCCCGATCAAATCAAATCAGATACTTACGGCGATGGATCGATCGCGGCTATTTGGTTCTCCCGTTCAGCTCGACGACGTTGACAGCGCGCTAAATCTCCACCCGCGCTACCTCAGCGGCTGGAGAGCGCGGTTTGCACTCCACTTGGCCATGGGTACCTGTCCAGCTGCGTCCATCTGTCTGCGTTCCAGTCATCGCTGCGTTTCTAGGCTTCCCGCTGCGGAGCGCGAAGAAGGGCTGTAAGCGGCAGATCGTTCCCGCGGACGGCGATAGCTGGCAACCGCTGGCAGTTGGCACAGCGTGATTAGAGGCCGCGCTCCCACGCCTGTCACTCCCTCTCTCTCACCTCGATGTCCGCCGCCTCGTCCACGAAGGCGCCCTCGTCGCCCGCCGGCAGCGCGGGCCCGAAGGCGAGCAAGGCCAGCCGCCGGCGCCAGTCGGACACGGACCCGCTCACGCTGGCACTCGCCCCGCCACCGAATGAGAGTATGCAGGAAAGGACGGAGAGGCTGGCGCTAGCGGCCACCGCGGCTCAGACGAGCCGTGCAATTGACGAGGCGCTCCTCCAGGAGAAGCGGGCGCTGGATAAGAAAAAAGAGGACGTCAAGATTCTTCTACTTGGTGCGTTGTGTGGGTATACAGAAGTGCGCTGCTGATGCAGGTCGCAGGGCAAAGCGAGTCGGGAAAGGTGCGCGGAGCTCTTGTGCTTGTCTACATAGGCGCTGATGTTTATGCAGAGTACGGTCCTCAAGAGTGAGTATACACGGGCAAAGGGTTACACTGGTTAATGGCTATGCCCCAGATTTCCGACTTCGGTTTACGCCCGAGTACTTTGACAGCGAGCGCGCGGCGTGGAAGATTGTGGTATTGCTCAACCTCATCAGGTGCGCCTCCTTCTCTGTCGCTTTCTTCATTCTCAGCCTTCGCAGCTCGATCCGCACGACCGTTAACACGATCCAAGCCGAGCTTGCCGCGCCCGAGTTTACTCTGGTCTCTCCCCAACACGCCCAGCTATGTACTGAGCTCCAACCGCTGCTTCACCAGGAGGAGACGCTCGTGTCGCTGATCGCAGTGTCGCCTCACTTTACCGACCCCGGCGAGGCCCTTGTCCGCCCAGGCGGAGCGTGGAAGCGCGTGCTCGCGGAGAGCGACGAAGCACGTGCCGCCGCTGCCATCGTGCACGAGCTAAGGGAGGAAATTGAAGCCCTCTGGGCGGACACCGCCGTCCGCGAGCTCCTCGAGAAGCGCGGGATCAGCCTTAAGGACGGTGGCGGGTAGTAAGCGCGCTTCCGATATATGTCAGTTTCAAATTCGCTAATCATACCCAGTTTCATGGACGACATACATCGCGTCACGGCGCTCGATTTCGTGCCTACAGACTGTGTGTCATTCAGTGCTCTTCTGGGCCCGCGATTCTGACGTTGAACAGCGGATATTTTACGCGCACGGATTAAGACGCTAGGCGTCGAAGAGCATTTCTTCGAGAAAGAGGCCGCGGCGCCAGGGACAAAAGGTGTCAAGGACTTCTGGATATACGATGTCCCCGGCTCGCGCGGGTCACGTGCCGCATGGTCCGTGTCGACCTACCCGGGATAGACCGGCGACTAACGCTTATGATTTCATAGGATCCCGTTCTTCGATATGGGTGCGCTCCTCTCGCCTCGTGTTTATCCCCTGACGGTCCACAGTCCAGGCGATCGTCTTCCTCACGCCGCTCTCGTTCTACGAGGTGCTCGAGGAGGACACGCGCGTCAACCGCCTCGAAGACAGCGTCGTGCTCTGGAAGGAGATATGCTCTAACAAGCTGCTCGAGGCGTGTTCCATCATCTTGTTCTTTAACAAGGTGCGTTCGCCTTACTTGTGGTGCTAATATTCCTATTCGCTGATCCGATACTCAGATGGACATCCTCAAAGCCAAGCTCAAGGCAGGGCTAATCGTGCGCGAGTATGTCACAAGCTTCGCAGACCGGCCGAACACCTATGCTGGCGCGACGGGGTGTACGTGGTCTCTCTCCCATTAAGACATGATATTAATCTTAACCCTGATGAATATAGACTTCAAGGAGAAGTTCAGGGCGTATCATGTGCGTTGTTTTTCTTTCATTCCCAAACACGATGCTGAGCAATTGTGCAGAAACGCCTCTCGCCGCAGCCGCGCGCGTTCTTCTACTACGAGACAACCGCCGTCGACACCCGTTCGACCGCGAAGATCATCGGCACGGTACATGAAGAGATATTCCGGCGGCATCTCAAGGACAGCATCCTGATATAGGGGGTATTTATAATGGAGGATCTTTCGGGAGCGTTTTCTTGGTTTGGTGAGCGCGGATTGGGAGGCTTAACGGGGGCGGGTGAAAATGTACGTGGAGTTACTAGTACTCGCCGTTGTATATACCAATGATATCGATACGGGTATCAAGAGCACAGTAAAGTGCGCCAAACGGTCAGATTGGGTCTGTGCAAGGCTTTGGTGTTTGCTGCAGATGTTAGCTAGCAGGCGCCTGTCACTTTTCATCGACCCAAATATTATTGAAATAATATGTGCAGTTACTGTAATGTGAACTTGAAGGATAATAATGGGCCATCGTTTATGTAATAAATTATAACATATATGATGTGGTCGTAGCTCAACCTCTCTATTTCCTTCCGTTGGCCGACAATCCTGAGTCTACTAGTACGCTGATTATTTCTACTATATATATCTAAAATACCTACAAAGTCCCGCCACGTCCTGCTACATAGGATAAATCCTGTCCGTCGGGTTACTATTCGAATCGAACCTCCACGACACCGCCCCTCCATTCATCTAGCTTTTCGCCGAACCACGGAAAGTGCGATTCCCCAAAATCGACCGCCTCAAGCCCCGTGATCACAAAGGTCGTCCAACCAGGCATCACCTCCCGTTGCTTTATCAAATCTCCCAAAACTGGAGCATCAGCTTCCGTCCGGAGGCGCTTCCACCCTTCGACGAGGGCCGCGATCGACTTCAGCACCGTCGTCGTCGCATCGCGCAGAAAGGCCGCCGCCAAGTCGGGCGGGAACGTCGCCGCATGGTGCGGGCCAATGCGCGAGTCAACGCGGTACGTGAGGGTGTCCAGTGCGGGTAGGAATGGCACACGAGGGCCCATAGGGACCACACCCTGCCTGTTATCGTCCTCCGCCCCGAGGAGCAGTCCAGTAAGCGGGAAGCGGCAGGCTTCGAACGAGCCTGGATGCGTGAAGGCGAAGTAGTCGGAGACGTCGAGCCGCTGTAACTGCGCCAAGGGGCGTAACAGCACAGCCAAAGTGTTACCTTGCCAGTCGCCAGAAAAATTGATGTTTTCTAGTGAAAGCCGCTGAAGATGAGAGTATTTGTGAATGTCTATCAGCGCCGCGCGACCCCAGGACTCGAGGTGGCCCATCCAGGAGCTAGGGGCGGAGTCTTTCAGAACAAGCTGTTCGAGCTTTGTAGAATTGAACCGCGAAATGATTCGGAGCACTGCTCGGTGTTTGCCGTGGAGGGTCAGCGAGTGCGGCTGTGTGTTGCCAAACACCAGCAAGTCGCTCAGCTTGACGAATTTGGGTACCAGTTCTGCCTCTAATATAGGCGAGTCGGGAGCTTCCAACACGTCCAGATATATGTGGCGATGGCCGCGGTCGTCGAGCGAGCCCAGTGTGTGTCTGATAATGAGCAGACTGTCGTGGTAGATGCATTGCACAGAAAAACGCCGTAGCGGGGCCAGTTCGATAGCATTCCAGAAGACCCTGGATCTTGTATAAGTTCTAAGCTTCAAGTTATCACCTGTCTCTCTTAACGCCAAGAACTCCAGCTGAGGGACGCGGAAGTCTTTCAGCCAAATGGTCGATACATTGGTCAGATCGAGCGTTTGGAAGCGATGGGCTTCGCGGAAGATGCGGTGGATGAGGCTGGACTGCTTGGATTCCACATATTTGCCGCGATTGGACAGAAAGATGTGCAGTGGGTGCAACTTCGAGCGCTGCAAATGGCGGCTGACAACGGTCTCTACCACAGCCTGAGCCGCGTCGTTCCGTCGGTTCCAACCCATCTCTATCATGATCCACGCCCAGAGGCTGGTCGTCGACATGACAACGTCTTTCCATGTGCGAGACACGGCCATGAGGGGGTAGTGTGCCATCATAACGCGTCGGGTCTTGCTCTCTTCGCTGGCGGATGGTGACGCGCGACAATGGGCGTTGTGCATCTCGAAAATCATCGACCAAACTTCGAACGGGAGTGCGGGAGGACGGGGAGAGCGACGTTCGGATGTGCATTCGGAAGAGCTGGCGAGTAGGACGTCAGAGAAGGGCTATAACCGATTACTGGCTAAAACGCACGGATTCGAGTGAGAAGTGGCCCCTTGAGCACTCGATACTACTCCGCGCTCGGGCGAGCGTGCATGTGCTGGGCTTCGGTCGGTTTGTGGCTTCAGCGAGGTCGTAGCTTGTGGTGGCATCGTGGTGGTAGAAAGTAAAGGGCGGTTATGAGTCATCGGCATCAATGCATCACGCCAATATCACGAGGTCACCGCCCGTTCTACCGATGAGAATGAGACAGCAATGACGGGGCAAATGGTGCAGATGACAAAAGTTTTCTTAGAGTATTTTCCTGTGCCGTTTTTTTTGACTATATATATAGACGGGGTGATCTCTTAGGCATCTTTGAGATCTTGCCCAAGATCTCAAAGATGCCTAAGACCAACCTGTAGTTTTACTGATGCAGGTGATGCTTGGCGGATTGACAAGTGGACATCACCACTTTTTTGAGTGTTTTTGAGGCTTTAGACAGTAGACTGAGTAAGTAAATACCTGTATGGACCTTCTCTACACTCTCTGTACCTCATTGAAGCACAAATCAGTGTTTTGATGAAACACCATTGATTTATTGATGCACCAGCTGGCACATACACTACAAATGGTGTGGGCACTTCATGGGCTGCGGCACCTGGGGAGTGTCTCCGGACACTAACCCGTTGCTAACCGGCCATGTTACTGGAAGATCCTAAGAAGATTCAAAAGGGCACGTGCAAAGCGGGCTGAGAGCCGGCATTCAACGGCTTGTGGTATCTGATGCCATCCGGGCCTCATACATCATTCCGGTGAATAGCCGACGCTTGGCCCACGCACGCGGACATCAAGGTCTGTTGCCAAGTTCAAGGACCCGCCTATCTCCGAGATGGCCGGCGCAATTCCCACTCTCCGGTAAGCTGATTTCAGCCTCTGTGCGAAAGATATTGAGTTTCTAGGTATAGTACAGTCATAGATTAGCTGAATATACCCCCAAAATGGCTCAGATCTTTCAAAATGAAAGGGAAAATGGACAGTTTTTCACCATCATACATCTGTCAGACTGAAATTCATCCTCAACCGTCTCACCTCACCTGTGGATTCCGCATATCCTCTCTAATTAGAATGACCATTACCCCCCACTGGTCATTCTAACTAGAGAGGATGGCTCTGAAACCCTACGCTGTGATAAATACTCCAATAAAGCTGCTATAGAGTGCATAAATCCCAAGCTCTAAGGTAACTTAATTAGTTAGCATAAGACTCGGACTTGAACTGGTATGTGACGTCACAAAGTGGTTTGTTAGTCGTTATACTATTACTACAAGTATATCATGCTATGAATGATGTTGAATAATTGAACCCCTGGTGACTTGTGTTCATTTCAGTGCCTGAGTCACGCTGTTATATAGTGTCACATAGCGTGACACATGCCAAAAAAGGAAATTTTCGCTATTTAACAGGAGAATCATTCGAGAAGCCAATCACTAGCTGATATATATGATTGAAGGACTACTAAGGGTACCTGAATGGTAAGGTCTATATTCTTATCAATTCAATCTTATTTGTGTATTAACACTACCTAACAGTGATTATCCATCACACATTTTGATCTAGCCATATCTCCATCAGTTCTTCAGAGATTCAGATGATTGTTTTACTAGTAGGCAGTTAGTCATATTGTCTTGATATGATCTGATGTGAATATGGTCTCATACCTTTAGAATATACTGTTATACCACTTTTCTATAGCTTTTCTGCTTCAAATTTGATCAAGCACACTGATGACTTGATATCGCTGATAAGTGGATACATTGCATTCTTAGTATCTCATTCACTTAGGATTTGAAACTGAAATACTAGAGGTCTGGTTTGAAGTATCTGAACATATACATTACCTACTGCATTGGTTGGAGTGTCAGATATTCCCTTTGTTATGAGTGAAGAGTGAATCCAGTGATGATATAGTATGATAGTGATCAAATATTCTGGTCAATGTATGGTACTGTTGAAATCCTTCCTAGTGGTATGTGAATCATACATTTACCCCAAGTAGTTATAGAGATAGAGGCTCATCAGTTGTAGATCAGTAAGTGATTGGGTTATGCTGGCATAACCATTCAGCTGTGACTATAGCTTACTTAATGAAAGTTGTTCGTATGAACAAAACATACAACTTTGGTTTTGTGATGATCTGTGACATTCTCTGATGATTGTACTGTCAAATGGTGAAAATTTCCTTTTTTGGAAATTTGTCACACTACGTGACCTTGTGTAACAGCGTGACTCAGGCGCTGAAATGAACACAAGTAGGGGTTCAATTATTCAACATCATTCATAGCATGATATACTTGTAGTATAACTATTAACAAAACACTTTGTGACGTCACATACCAGTGTTAAATTTCAAGTCCGAGTGTCTTATGCTAACCAATAAGCCTAAGTTACCTTAGAGCCTGGGATTTATGCACTCTATAGCAGCTTTATTGGAGTATTTATCACAGCGTAGGATTTCAGAGCCATCCTCTCTAATTAGAATGACCAGTGGGGGGTAATGGTCATTCTAATTAGAGAGGATATGCGGAATCCACAGGTGGTGAGACGGTGCTACCTGCGTGTATCTCCTCTGAAGGACGGAATGAGGTGTAGAAGATGCAGTCACCATCTTCAAGCTGGTCATCTTCGTCATCCGAGTCCGAGTCCGGCGTCAGATCAGGCAGGTCGGAATCGAGGCCGGAATCGGAATCGTCTCCGTCCTCAGGGCCAGAGGTCCATAGTGCAAACCGAGGGGAACGGGCCGGAGCAGAGACGCTTCTGGAGCAACCAGAGTCGCCGCAGCTCAGTCCACTCGACGTGCTCTTCCTCACGGCAGGTCAAGCAATTGTGGGGGCACCGTGTCATCTTGACCTCCTTGGTTTCCCAGTTGATCTCTGGGTTATGTTTCCGCAACCAGGAGTACCCCAGGATGAGGTCTTGCTTGCCAAGATGGGTGACGGCCAGTTGAACTCGTTCGGCATGGCCCTTGTAGTGCAGGACCAAGTCCACGGAGCCGTAGTGGTAGTATTTAGCCTAAAGCCAGTAGGTGTACTTAGGAAATACATTGCCTAGGCTACTAAGTACAGCCAGGGGGCTATGTACACCTAGAACTTTAGCCTAGCACTTCTCCCTAGGCCAAAGCATTATTCTCATAGAAATATATATTATTATGCTTTATCTGGTATTCTGTTACCTAAGCCAGTGCCCCTATCTATTTATTGTTTTCAATGTGGAACCATTTTTGATTGCCATCAGTAATTTTGATGGCTATATCATGATCCATCATTTGTGTCCAAATTAGGATTATTATTGATACAGGCCTTCCCAACTATATACCGGGTCATCGGCCTGAAGAAAAGGAGTTTAAAGTATTATATATGCATTATTATTAATATTATATGTATTAGATAACAGTTTATTCCATCATTGATGCTATATTGATCTAGACACCCTCAAGTGATTCTAGCCTAGATCACTGGGTACACCTAGGCTAGGTGCATTTACTATCCTAGGCAATGCATTTCCTAGGTGCACCTAAGCCAGGAGGCTAATTCTTACAGCTACGGGTGGAGCCCACGATCTGTTTGATGGAGCCAGTGTCGTTAGGGGTGCCGTCGACATTGAAGACCGGGATCGGCTGATCAAGAGTGCGGACCGGAATGCCATTCCGAGCGACATAGTTCGTGTCAATGAAGTCGGAGGTGGCACCGCAGTCGACAAGCCCAGAGAGCGAGAGCTTCAACGCACTGGTGGTGGACTCTAGCTCCAACGAGAGGTGGAGGGAGTTCGCCCCAGGGGCAGCGGCAACAGTATACTGCTTGGGCAGTTTCTTTTCCCAGGCAGTGAGGCGGCGAAGGACGATGACCGGAGTCGCAGGCGGAGTCGGAGACGGAGTCGAGGCGGGGGGCAGGAGAGGGTGTGTCTTTCGTTTCGGGCTCATTGTAGGGCAAGGAACTGCATTCATCATACATCCCGGGCAAGATGGTTTGGGTCGCCGCACCTGAAGCAGGCGCAAGGCGCAACGAGGGGCACCCCGAGCCCTGGTGCGATCCAACTCCATAGGGATGGGAGCTGGAGGCGCCGGAGCGGGGGCACGGGTGGCACGACAGGAGCCACCAGGCGGAAAGGGGCCGGAGCCGGGATGTGGTTGACCGGAAACGGAGTCCGAATCAAACCGCCTGGTGTCTTGGGGGTGGCTGACTTGATCAGCTTGGCCCGGACCAGGCCCTCGTATTGACGGAAGGCCCGGGTGCGCCAGCTAAGGTAATCCCGGAGGTCCGGGGGGTCGTTCGAGGACGTGATTCCGTTATTGATCAAGGGGTCAAGTCCGTGGCGGAACTTGGTCACCTTGACCAGCGCGTCTTCGAATCCGGCGAGGTCCATCAGGTCCTCGAAGTCGTCGGCATGTCGCATGCCAGGTCCCAGGAGGATCTTCTTGCAGATCCTGATGCATTACCTACATTGATTTTTATCGGTGGACAAAACAACGGTCGCTTGTGCATCACGTAGGTAATTGATGGACAGGTGTCTGATGCCGAGATGCGATGGACAGATGCCAAGGTGGGGTTCCCCTGACACCTACTAGTAAAACAATCATCTCAATCGATGAAGAGTTGGTGGTGATATGGCTAGATCAAAATGTCTTATGAATAATTATTAGGTAGTGTGGATACACAAATAAGATTAAATTATTGAGAATATAGACCCTACCATTCAGGTATCCTTAGTAGTACTTCAATCAACTGTGTAGCCTGTCGAGTTATCAAAATATCATCTCATTAGTTATATATCAGCTAGTGATTAGCTTATGCTGGCATAACCATTCAGCTGTGACTATATGTTACTTTAATGAAAGTTGTTCGAATAGACAAAACATACAACTTTGGTTTGTGACGATCTGTGACATTCTCTGATGATTCTCCTGTCAAATGGCGAAGATTTCATTGTTTGGTAATTTGTCACACTGTGAGGTTCACTTATTCATCATTACTCATGGCATGATACATTCACACTGCAATTTCTAAGAAACCCCTTTGTGACATCACATACCAGTGTTAGTTGTCAAGTCCAAGTCTTATACCCCTCAAATTATTCATTATTATTCATACTAGAATGGACTTAGACAAAAAACAAGTGATAAACTCAACATTATTCATCCTTATATCCAGAAGTTATTCATTATTATGGTAAACGATAAAAACACCATGAACCTATTAGGTCTTAAGATCTCATGCAGTATAATGGACCTGATAACTCACAGTGGGGACTGGCACACAGGTGAGTTATTTAAATGGAGATTGTGATCTTCCAAAGTCATATCTATACTCTTGGTATCTGTAGGAAAAAGATATTTCCACGGGTATTGGCACTGTTGAGACTCCACTCCGGCTGAGCGCGGAGCAAGACATTCCGGTGCTGCGTAAGCGCGTTCACGCGCTCAACCGTCAACGGCGACGTGTCGCCGCCCGACTGACTCATCAGGCGCGGCCCCGGAACTCGGTCTGACTCGCCCTTGGAGTCATTTCATTTTATTCCCAGTATATAAAGCCCTGTATTCCATAGTTCTACAAGTTTTTAGCACCCTCGCTTTATGATCTAAGTGTCCGCCGTCCTCGTATATGTCTTCCCGCGCCGTCGTTGCGCTCATGTCCCTCGCCACCCTCGCCTCTACTGCACACTCATACAACACATCCATCCCTGCCCCTTCCCTTTGTCCTGGGTATGGTCTGACCCTCGCACATACTTACAGTTGTTGGACACTGGGAGTTGTGATGCTGATCCTTTTGGGGTTAGCTCGCGCTCTCGAGCTCGTTCGCAGCGCATCAAACACTTGTGCGGAACTTTATATTTAATGGCTCTATAGATAATTGTGCCTAATTTTATATAGTCGGATCTTGTTCCACTTGAAAATTCACATGAGTATCAACATTAACTTGGAGTTTTCATAATGTAGAATCATTTATGGTCCCAGTGGAGCTCTGATGAAAGTCTGTTGGAAATGAAACAATATGACAAGTTAAGTGGAAATCATCATACAAATTGTACTTTGATCTTTGTCTGGCAGCTGTGGCCCACCAGCCTTAGTCCCTGGATCAGTGTATCCTTTAATACCAGTGATTTCCCCTGAACTGATACTAGTCCTTTGTGATCCATGAAGAAATGTGCGTATGTTGAGATTTGTGAGCTAGGGATAAACTTAGATTGTGAAATGTCCACAAAGTGACATGCCATTGTTATAACATAGACTCGGCTTAACAAATCGGCAATGCATGTGGAAACTAAAAGGAGTAGGAAGTCAGCCATGGTAACTCCCCCAGATACATTCCATATTACCATTGCTCTCTTCAGCACATAAATAGGATATCAGGGCAGCAAGTGCTACAGTAGCAGTGACTGATCCAGTTTGTATTGTTAGGATTGAAAGTCGAGTGAGCAAACTATTGAGAACATTAAGTATATCTAACTAATATATAACCAGTGACATACCTCCGTGTTTCTTTGGAACTACTTTTAACTTGATGAAATTGCCAAAGAAGAGTGGTTGCAATAAGCATGTCTGTTACAGCCTGTGTTACCATCCAGATTCTGGCAACCATGACAATGCCATCAATTATTATTATATTGATGACAAATATAAATCAACACACATAGCAGGAAGCTTGGCTTTGTTCCGATTCACATATGATGGATGAAGAGCAATAATGCTGGAACTGGCAAAGCATGCTCCAAGCTATATGCAAAAGTGAGGCTCTGAATATAGTCAGTCTATGTTCAACATACTGTAACAAGGATAAGAGCACATAGGAATAGAGAGACAACCACATTGTTAGTGCTGATCATATATGTTATTAATCAGTTTGAAACACCATGAAATTTTCTGAAAGGCCTACAATCTCCAGTACCTAACAACCAAGAATAGTTGCACTTGCGCAGATACAAGCCCAATTGAGAATAGAAGCAGTATGAAACTCTGTGGAACCAATGATCATTATGTTGCCTGAAATATTATAATCATGCCATACCAGGTTCTGCTGAGTAAGATATTGCGGATCAAATGCATGGGTAATAGTGTAGAGATAAACCCCTGCATAGTTGCTTATCATGGCCATCGTATCAATGATCCAGGTGCTGAGAACCACTGCCTTGATGTACCCTTTGTCCCCGGGGAAGTAGTGGAAATAGTAGGTCACCTGGCCAAGCTCAACACTATAAAGGAGCTGGTAATAAATCAGCACTCCAGAGTGTAATCTTAAATGGATTCCTTACAGAATTGACCCAGGTGCCAATTAGCAATGCACTAACAAAGTCTGAACTCCAAGGCAGAGCTGAAAGTTATACATACCCGGTTATCCTATCAAGAGGTGGTACAATCTGTGACTCAGACATTAGGATGGTCTGGCAGGAGGAGCTTTTAGGCATGATGAAGCAACCATGGCCCTTAAATATACAGGTGTGTCTTCCTAATTTAAGTTGGGAACCCGCATCAGCTATTGCTGTTATAGTCACAAGATTGATTGGAGCTGCGGAGGATCTAAGCTGAGCACAGCTTCATAGGGCTTGGTTTATATAGGGGTGTTTGTAAACTGGTTTATAAACACCCCTGTTTCATATGTTTATAAACAGCCTGGTTGGTAACCCCCTGTTTTAGGGTTTTATATTAGTAAGCACCCAAATAGGAAAGAAGCTAGCAAACCAGACTTACTTTACACCAATATTGCTTCTATATACTGCATCTCAACCCACTTTTGGCTAATATTCCCATGTTGATCATGATTAATCCTAGTAAGTATTGGGAGCTTGGCTGTGTGACTATACTGTACTAACCATACAGATTAATTATTATCAAGGTTATCATGATTTTTAAGTGTTCTAAAGAATTCATGACAGGGGATCTAAAATCTGCTGATAAGTAAATTGTACATGTTATATATAACTAATTCATGTTATGCAAACTTACAAGTGATAGTTGATATAATCTTGCTGTTTCAACCCCTAATGTCTATGAATCTCAAAGTCATGAAGTTAAAACACCAAAATTTGCTGCAAAAAATTTCCTAAAAAGGCAATTTTGATCTCTCCGGTCATATCGGCTCAGTTGGTTTATAAAACCTAAAAACTGGTTTATAAACAGGGTTTCAGAGGCTATTTTTATCAAACTGTTTGATAACCTCCAAAATTTTTACAAACCAAGCCCTACAGCTTCAAGCATAGGACTCGGAGTTGAACAATCTACCAATGAAGATTCAGTTACCTGGTATGGGGGATAGAAGTTAAAAGGGGCAGGTACAATAGAACCTCGAGCTCCCATAAATTTTTTTTGTCATTAACAGTTAAAAGCAAAACATCGGAGTCATGATTTCAGAAATAGTTGTTCCAAGTTTCCATGACCCTTGATCCAAGCTGTCCATCGACTTCTCGAAGATTACGACCCGGTTGCAGAACCCACAACCACTGCACCAGATTAGAGGAACAAAATCACAGGTGCCAGTGCGCCGGGCCCCAGGGAGCGCGGACTACAGAGTAGATAGCATATCTGGGTGTCCAGCAGTGCAGGATCTGTCAAGAGGCACCAAGATTCCCACTCCACGGGATTGATCTCCGTAATACCCTGGAATGTGGTGCCAGCCTCCACCTGGCACCACCTCTACTATGCCTTCCTATCATAATGTTGACGCACTGCATATGTCTTGTTCTGGCAACTGCGTGGGGAGCCCTTTTAATAGTACTAGTTTCGGTAGATCCATATGCCAGACACTGCCTGTGTTCGGATGAATCGGATCGCACAACTGGCCTATTGGCTAGGACGCCCAATCCAACATCCGAGTTCAAATCTTAGTATATTTCAGCGGTGCTAGTAAATGGTTTTAATCAAGAGCTTTGAACGGCGCGAGCACCATATCCAGCAAACACTTCTCAGCCAGTCCCGGCAGACGCTCTCCGAGCTCCTGTACAAGCGTCTTTCGCTCATCTCCACTGACCTGCTGCGAGTTGCGCACATGGAGGACCAATACCAACCGGATGTCTCGACCCGTGAGGATGCTGTCGAGTAGGCATAGGCACACTGCTGCCGTCTCGTCGCGAAGCACCTCTATGAGGTGATCCATAGTCTGCGCAAGCTCCTCGTAGATCGCAACGGGCAGAGCGAAGGTGGTCAAGGCGGGGGTGACGCTGCGCTGGAGGAGCGGAGCGACGATGGTGGTGAACACCCAGGTGAAGTGTTTGTCTAGCTGGAGCTCGTAGTCGAGCGAGAAGAAGGTGAGCGTGACTTGGCTGAGCGCGGAGAGACACTGCGGTAATGCGATAGTCTGTGGATTATCATACCCCAGAACGGTAGCCCCTGTCAGCGTATCAGCAGTGCGTGCTGAGAGAAAGACAAGGCCACGTACTAGTCACCCTGAGATGCAGATGTTCCAGATTTCCGGCTGCGGCCTGGCAGATGCGCAGCGCCTCCGAAAAACCGAGGCGGTCGTTGACCGGGACGACAAGCTTCCGGAGAGCGCGCATGGATGGCAAGAACTCCGGCTGAGCAAGGGCGTCCATGCGGAGACAGTCCCTGAACTCGAATTCGCAGGAATGCGTTGTATATGGGGGGTGGTCATCGCACGCAATATCCTCAATCGTCACAACGTCGAAATCGACATGCGAGTGCGGCGCCAGCGCGCGGAAGACGGAACGAATGATGCGGCGCGGGACGACCCAGATATGTGAGAAGCGGACCTTCCGCAGTGTGCCGGGTGGAATGAGCACCAGCCAATCAGCGAAAGCCCTGTTGATGGCGGCCATAGTGAACCACGCACCATCGTCACCGGATATGGTTAGCGAGTACACGCCGGTAAAGCGTGCAAAAAGCGTGGCGAGCCGGGCCGCATCGTGGTCCGAGTCGTGGGCGGAGGTATACGGACTGTGATAAGCTCGAGGATTCTTGAGCGAGACTCTGAGTTCGCCTACGAGCGCAGCAAGGTGGGGGTAGCGCTCGAATTGCACGGCTGCCCGCGCATAGCTTGTCCCCCTTCTACCCTCCCAACTTGAAATACTGAGCGTGCCGAAGAGGCGCTGTTGACAGGGGAACCGAAAGCACGATGCGGCGAGACACAGCGACCTGAGATCGTCCTTTCTCTTCACGTCGCAAACGATGGCGTCGATGAGCTCAGCTGGCAGCTCCATGAGGGTAAGAGCCAAGATGTGTGGTGCCACGTGTCGCCCGCACATTCTCATGTCACCGCGCAGCGGGCCACGCGGCGAGCGGAAGCCCCCGGCAGGGTGGGTCCAGGGCAAGGCCCTGGTCGGGGTCCGGGGTGGAAAACCCCGGCCGTCGCGGCCGGCGCCGCAACCGACGTGATGCGACATGTCTCGATCCCTCAACGCGGATGATATTGATTCACTGAGTCCCACTCCGGGCCCTCGGGGATGGGACTGGGACTGGGAAAAGTGGGACTCGAGTCCCATTGTCCCAGTCCCAGTCCCACTACTCTCGTATATACTCGGCGCCGCACACCCATTTCTGCGACCAACAACTCGAACGAACGGATCCATAACACCTTCGAATAAGCGACGCAGCGTGTCGAGAATATCATCGTCCTCCCATGCCGCCATTGCGCGCAGCCCGTCGATGGCAGTGAGCCCCGCGGCCAAAAACTCGTCGCGGTGGCGTTCGATGGACACACCAGCGGAACAGCCCGGCAGAAATGAGGAGCCGGTCCGCGTGGTTTAGCGCGAGGACGGCCTTCTCCAGCGCGATTAGCTGGAACGCGGAGAGGCCCGGCTCAGCCGCTGCCGCGATTTCGCGGCGCCCTGCAGGTGCGGGCCACCGGGCGAGCAGGCGGTTGAGGACTTCGGCGACTTCTGCGCGTGTCCAGAGGGACATGGCGGTCATCTCGTTCATGCCGATGCCCATCAGAGCGAAAAGCGTGCGGTAAGGGGAGAGCGATATGTGTGGTGATACCCCGCTTTCGAGGAATTCATCAAGGGCGGTCCGGGGCTCCGGAGAGGACGGGAGCAGGGAGGACGTGTCGGCGCTGCTGCTGGCGAAGTCTGGTGGGGAGCTCGAGGGCTGTCTGGACCGGTTCAGCTCTTCTGTTGTGGCCACATTTTCATCTTCCTGGGCGGATGGTATCTCCTCTACGGAGGCTGCCTGTAGCTTCGGACGAATTATGCATTATTAAGGAAACAGAGGCCCAGGGACTCACTAAATGGGTCTTCCTCGGCACGGAGGCTTCGCAAACGAGGCGCTCCGTCCAGGAAGTATACCGGCAAGCGTTCTCCATCGGGAATGTCCTACATTTCCGCCGTTTGTAAGTGACCGTTGGCTGTGGGAGGCACGCACCTTCAACCGGAGAGCTTCCGCGCAGAACTGGGCATCGAGGTAATCCTTGTCGTGCTGCTCCTCCCCTGCTATACCCGGATATAGGCCGCGAACCACAACGCGCACGGATTGCCACGTGAACTTGAGAAGAAACGCGATGTCGCTGGTGCCCAAGCCGCATTCGTGGTACAGAAAACGCGCCTGGGCACGGTCGGCGCGAGACAGTGCTAAGTAGCCCCGTCGAGTCGTCGGCGGTGTCCCTCTGTGCTGCGGTTAGATTCGAAGGATCTTTGTGAAGAGCTTCAATGCGGAACCGACCGACCTAGGCATCTTCAATCGCGCCGCCGTCTCTTTGTCCTGCCAGCCACCCCCGCTTGTGCGTGACCGTAGACCGTATTTCGGCTTGGGTACAGCGGTTTTGGACTTCTGTATCGACTTTGGGGACATATGCGATAATGGCGCGGCCAAGTACCAGCGAGCGGTAAAGTCGAGGTGGTCGTTGCGGACAAGAGCGGTTGATGCCTCTGGTGATCAATTGATGGGATACGTAAATTTTCTCAGGATGACGTGGCTTCTTCTTGGTCACTACACTCTACAGTCCACCGCAAAACTTACTCCCTCATAGTCCGCTGCACTACGACCGGCATCTTTCGAGCTTCCTATCGACCTCTTCAACAATTAACTACCTCATGACATCTGACTACTGTATCGTCTGGTCGCCTGATATGATGCCTGTGGAAACGACACAAGCGTGGAATACGGCGCACACGCAGGCGTCTGACTGTGTCCTGGAGCGCCCGTGGACGCCGGTCAGCTGGTCCCCCCAGCCAGGCTTAATTTCTTTTGGAATTATGATTTAGTGCTGTCCAATTATGATTATGAATACGAAAATTTCATAATTTATTCATATTCATAATATATTCTCCTTAGTGGGGCATATGAATAATTGTATTCATGTTCATAATCATAATTGAGCTCAGAATATGAATATATTATGAGTATATTCAATTATATTCAAGCTTCACAAGTCTGTACATAGTGCATATAATCCACCTTATCTTGCGGTTTATTCAACCACTCCTTGGTTATGATTGGTTCTGTCACCAGTTTTGCAGTTATTCAAGCATATATATCTGTCATCCCATGCTTGATGCTGGGGAACAGGCACTCTACAGAGATGCTCCTTGCAGCAATGACTAAGATTAATAACATAGCCTGGATATCCCACAACAAAGTATTGATCTAAACAAAACTCTAGGTTAATCATGATACCTTTACCAGCCCAAAGTGTCATCAAAGTCTGGGGCAATAATGTAAAGGTCAACTTCAGCCTTCTGTCAGGGCTGGACGCAGATGTCATCCTGGCTGATTTACTGCTGAGAGTCATTGATATTGCAAAGACTCTGAAGGGCTTGCTGGTATATTTTGAATATAATCAATTATGGCCAGGGTATAATATATTATATTGATATTCATAATCACTCATATTCAATGGGTCTGATTATGTAGAGGGCATTGTCAAACCCTGGGTTCAAAAACCCTTTTTCTTCGCCCTTGTAAGGGCAACCTCGCGAGGCTCGAAATCAGAGTCCTGAGCAGAGGGGGAATCCTTAGTGAAACTACTACAACAGGAAGGGACGCTACAGACTCACCTGAGCAGAGGGGGAATCCTTAGAGAACAAGCCAAGGAGCCCTCTGCTCAGGTGCACTACTATATACCAGTGACCGGAGTAATGATAGAGTGACTGCATAGCGACGAATGACGCATGGGAGAAGTCAGGTGTCGCTAATGGACCCTAGGTGAGTGTCGAGTAGCCCTCAAAGCTCCGGAGAGGCAGGTTTGGGACCATGATGCCAAGGGAAGAGCCCAGGCATCCTTAGAAGGCCCAGGAAGGGCTTCGGGGGGTCCAGACTGCCTCTGGGCGTCTCCGCTTGTGACCGTGACCGTGACAACCGGAATCGGAATCGGAATCGGAATCGATTCCGGGTGTGTGACCGTGACGTGACGGCCAGAAACGGAGAGGGGGGGGCATGGAGCGGAGAGGGAAGGAGTCGGTCTCGCCCAAGGGCCGGAGAGTGTCGGAAAGGACCAATGGGAATGGCGGCCAGCCATGACCACTGGAGGGTAGCGACAGGAGGGTCACTCGGAGACGTCCCCGGACGTCTCCAGAGAGGTGGAGGTGTGAGGGCGTGCAGCCTGGGGTGCTGCAGTAGGCACGAGCCTTAACGGCAGTAGGCCTCACCCAAAGGAAGACCCGATGACGGGGGCCGTGGTGGCGGAGTGGGGGGCGGAGCCATGGCGGGGCTCAGCCATCCGAACGTAAGCCCAAACGCTGACATAGGTTGGGGACACCCAAGAGGTCCAACGGGTAGAGGTTGCAGGGAGACCTCGATGAGCGACAGCCCAGAGAGGCTATAAGGCCATAGGCTCGAGGTCGCAGAGGAAAGTGGTGCGGCCACATCTGGAGAGGTCTCCGATGGCATTAGTGATCCCTGATGGTGACTCCGGAGAGACTCCCAGAAAGGGGTGGCCATGGGAGTCGGAGGTTGGGGATCACTGGATGCGGGATGTGGTGGGAGAAGTGGAGGAGGAGCGTCAGGGTGCAGGAATACAGAGACTTGGGTGGAGACACGGAGACGCGAGTGGAGACGCGGAGACGTGAGCGGAGACGCGGCGCTTGATGGGATCAAGTGACGGCATCAGGGTTTCCCCTGACAGCCCTTTAAACCTTGTATTTTGGCCCTGGTTGATAAGATAAGACAAGGAGGAGATAAGATGGACGATAAGATGGTGATTGGATCATCAGATGTGGATGCTGATGTTGATTGACAGCGTGGAGTTGGACATGAGGCAAACAGCACGTAAAGGCATGAATAAAGTATGACGTCATTGCCTCTTGTATTAGGCATGGTAAACACATGGTAGTAGTGTATATAAGTAGAGTAGATTGTGTCTTGTACCCCAGTCTTCGAATTGCATCATCTTTACGATATCTTTTCACGGTGCTTCTTGCTTGCCTTCACTGGCTAACTGGCATCCTCTGAATTGGTGTTGTTCATGACAATTTAGTCTTGTTCTGAGCTGTGTGACATCACCGTGGAGCCACTGGAGCCACTGGTGATTGCAATGCATTTCGGCCACCAGGTACCTTGCAAACTGTCTAATACATTATGCTGGAGCCATAATAATAATATAATAATATTGTAATACAATATAATATAGAAGAATATAATATTTGTTCCAGCCCCTAGGCATAATATAATCATAATAATAATAATAATAATAATAATAATAATATGGCATAATGATCAGACGTAATATAATATTCAAGGCCAGCACTAGTTACCTGGCGGATTCCCTGATGTGTTTTGGTCTAGGCTTCAGATAAGTGTTGTCTAAGACAAGAAATACTTATGAGAAGCTCAGCTAGCTACTTTATCCACTCGTGCTATTAGTCTACATGACATGCAGGAGACTGGATAGTGGATGCATACCTAGTTCAAATCGAGTCGGGGCAGCCACCTCACAACATGAGCAGATTCTTTTGTTCTCCTGTCGGGCGCTGAGGCGTAAGAATGCACTAGAGTGGCAAACACTCCCTTAGACTTTTTATCTTTTGTTGTGAAAATAAATGACTGGTTTTACTGTATTCTATTTGCTCGGTGTGACAAATGGTGTGATAGCAATCTTTGATCCATCTAACATCAGCCCATTTTTTTCTCCTTCTGCCGTCATGCCTCAGACTGCGCTGCCCACCCTTCCTCACCATATCTCCTGGTGGACCCGCAATGCTTGACTCATTCCCTTTGCTGTTATAACTAATTAGCTTGTCGGCTTCCCCCCTCAGTTAACCTCGAAGGAGTTGAGATAGGAGGAAGTCCGGTGTGTGACTGTGCCCTTATACCACAAACCCTGCGCCCTTCTAAGCACATCATTTGAAAGATTAGGACTCAAGGCTTGACTGCCTTTCTCACACATCTCAAATTATAGTTACTATTTCTCAGCAAGCAGGATGTTGTCGCGCACCTGCGCGCCTTGCGCTCATTTGTATGACTTCCTTTTCCTTTCTGGCATTGTTATCTGAGCTGCTCTCCGAAAATTATTGTTGTTAGCTATATTACCATCATTCTTTAGTTGTTGGCAAGGGCTAGAAATTCAGGTTTATTCTAATATTTTTCGACTTTTTAATTTATTTTAAGCTTTCTGGGCCATGGATCATGATGGGATTGATGGCATCTAGCTATGTCTTGCTATGTGGAAGCATTTTTGATGAAGATTAATGGTTTTGAT